TGGAAGTCAATGAATGTTACTTTTATTGACCAAGCACAGGCGAAAAAATATGGAATCACTCAATTCTGAGGAAAAAAGTATGGAATCATGAACAACAGATAAACAAAAGACCATTCAAAATACATCACTAGTATTTAGTTGCACCACCTTTGGCTTTTATAATGGCTTGCAGTGTCTGAGGCATGGACTTGATGAGTGACAAACAGCATTCTTCATGAATTTGGTGCCATCTCTCTTTGATAGCAGTTGCCAGATCAGCTTTGCAGGTCGGAGCCTTCTTGTGGACCTTTTTTTTTATTTTTATTTTCACCAAAGGTTTTCAATTGGTTTGAGATCTGGACTATTTGCAGTTCATGACATCGACTGAATGTGTCTTTCTCCAAGGAATGGCTTCACTGTTTTTGCCCTATGGCACGATGCATTGTCATCTTGGAAAATGATTTCATCACCTCCAAACATCTGTTCTATTGGAGGAATGAGAAAACTGTCCAAAATGTCAATGTAAACTTGTGCATTGATAGAAGAATGAACCACAGTCATCTCCCCAGTGCCTTTGTCTGACACGCAGCTCCATATCATCAAGGACTGTGGAAATTTGGTTGTTTTCTTCAGGCAGTCCTCTTCATAAATCTCACTGGAACGGRACDAAACWBAAGTTCCAGCATCATCACCTTGTCCAATGCAGATTCTTGACTCATCACTGAAGATTACTTTCATCCAGTCATCCACAGTCCATGATTGCCTCTCCTTAGTCCATTGCAGTCTTGTTCTTTTTTGTTTAGGTATCAGTGATGGTTTTCTTTCAGCTTTCCTGTATTGAAATCCCATTTCCTTTAGGCAATTTCTTACAGTTTGGTTACATACATTGGCTCCAGCTTCCTCCCATGCATCATCTGTTTAGTTGTACTTTTTCYGTTTTCAAGACAAATGGCCTTAAGTTGTTTGTCCTGACACTTTGATGTCCTTCTTGGTCTACCAGTATGCTTGGCTTTAACAACCATTCCATGCTGTTTGTATTTGGTCCACATCTTGGATACAGCTGTCTGTGAACAGCCCACATTTTTAGCAACCATGTATGAAGAGTTACCTTCTTCAAGAAGTTTCACAATACTCTCTTTTGTTTCAAGAGACATTTCTCTTGTTGGAGCCATGGTTCTTGCCACTCCACTTCGTCCAGCAGCCCTCCAAGGTGTCATGACTGCAGGTGTTTTTAACTTCAGACTAATGAGCAGATCTAATCTGAGGCAGGTGTCCGTTTAGAGAAAGGAAAATGACTGTGTGTCTTTATTTTCTACCTCCAATTTGATTGATTCCATACATGTTTCCTCAGAATTGAGTGATTCCATTTTTTGCAGTACTTCATCAATAAAAGTAASTTTCACTGACTTCCACAATGTTTTCTCTTCATTTCTTTGAGTGTTCCTGAWAGCCAACAAGTTGCACTTTGGAATGACCTTATTATTGTATCATGTTTTTGATCTGAGTTTGTTTTACAGAATGAAATGTCTGAATGAGTGCTCATCCAAGACTGGTGATTCCATATTTTCTTGCCAGGGGTTGTAGTATGTGTAGARACATACTAGACACATACTAGACACATACTAGTGTGTTTTGAAAGTTTTGCTTACCCAAGATTTACCACATTAAGAAAAAGTCATTTCTGTATCATGATATATATGGCTTCCATCCAAACTTTTTACAACACCCCATATTAATATGTCTCTAGATGACAATCATCTGTCAGATTACAGTTTCATCTGCGAGGCATGGACATACGATAAGTGACATTGCATCATGTTCACCAATTAAGCATGGTTCTACATTACCACAACAGATCACTGTGGTGGTACCAAGGAGAAATGACCAATCTAGCCAACACTGGGGAGGGCATCTGTTTGCAGGTCACCTCTCCTAGTGAGTCAAGGCTGTTTGGTGGCACAACGCTACATTGTGTGTCTGTATCTGCCTGCATATACAAAGTACATGTGCCTATGGGCTGCCTGCATCATGTTGCAGTTCTCAAATAGCCAGTCAGGTTCCCCAGTCTTTCCATGCATAGGACTAACTTACTCTGACCTAGAACAGATATGCCAGACCTTGATAGCCCATTTACATCAACTGTGGGCCAACTTGCAACAGGACAAGCCACACCAGCCAGTTCTGTTATACATCTACATTTGACTTGATATTACTTCTATTCACTCACACAACCTTTGAACAGATGCAGCTTTATTTCAGTTTCTACCACTCCGTCTTGAAGGTTAACTGCTGTCAGTGAGTGCATTATTTCATAAATTAATCACACTTAACAAAATCAGCTGAGCGGAGACCTTGTGAGGGGTGTTTAAAGTCTTGTCTTATTTAAAGTAATGTCTTACAGATCACTTCTCAAAGGGCTGAAATGTAGCTGCTCACATAAAATGTGCTGCATTTTAAATGCAGTTTTCCCCCTCATTAATTTGCGCTTTTCTATCTTATATAGTGTGACTGCCAGTTTATAAAATGCAGGAAGCTAATTAAACAGCCATGTAAAACAGTCAAGGAATGATAAAATAAAAATAAAAATAAATAAATAAATAAAAAAGAATCTAACAACCCTGTGCTTTGTGGGATATTGCAACGTTCTCTAGACTTCCTTCACCCTCCAGGCTGCCATACATTTATTTGATGAACATTATTCTCAAACTCACAAACAGTATGGAAAGTCTACTCATATAAAGAGTAATGATTAAGAGCCTGGCCTTTATATTAAACGTTAAATCTTTTCAAGAACCTAAAGAAAAAAAAAACACTTTATTCCATCTCCAGCAAGATGATGAAAACTAAATCATTTGCAGTTTTAATTGTAAGCTKTCTAAACACCACTCACGCATGCAAGTCCTCAACCCCTCCTTCACGCATGCAGTCATTTGACAACTTTTTATATTAAAAACTGAGGAGCTTTGAGGTTTTTTTTCTTTCTAAAAACTGGTTGATGCAGTGAGCAATATGTAGTCATTAGTGACTTAAACACAAACTGGCTTTCCTGCTAGCTGTTTGATTATAATTAAATTACATTCTTCCCCAGGGGGAAAGAGAAATCCTCATGTCTACGCGGTGTGCCACAGTGGGAACCAGTGACACAAAACAACTGAGGGGAGATAGAGGGGGATGACAAATTATAAACACATGTAATTTAAATGATGGCTTTAAGGAAAACAGTGGAAAACTGCAGGAAAAACAAACAACACCGAAGCATTCAAATGTGCAACAGATGCATCACGAGCGCTCAAAACGATGGCGACAATCCTCAGTCATCTGTTATCTCAGTAAGTCCCAGTTAGAATCAATTGAGTGCCTCTGACAGTCAATAATGTTGGGTTTAAAGGCTGACAAGAGGCAAGGTTCATCTGTAGATGAGACATTGGCAAGGGGGCAATCAATGAGCATCAGGCGAGAGCTCGCGACACGCCACCACACAAGTGTTTACACATTCACAAGTTTAACTGATTTCTTTGGATTTGCCTGAAGGTTTGGGGTTAGAACTGACCCAGGGTTCTTGATGTCACAGGGAAAAAGAAAATCTAATTCAATTATTCAAAGGGGTAAAAAGAAGGGATGCATTGAATGTCAGAAAGCAATTTAAGCTTAGAGGTTCGAAATGACAAAAATCAAACAAAGAGCATTAACAAACACACTAAAAAAACTGGAAGGCTTTGGAAACTCGCTTCAATGATTTCTACAGAGAACAGGTAAACATGTCATTTTCACTTTGTTGCAGGTCTCCCAGTCTGCATTGAGTTGTGCCGCAATCTTTATTAAAACAGTCGATCATCTTTATATCACAACGTTCAAAAACAACATGAGCTCCATTAGTTATCCGAGTGAAAAAAAAGGTGCATGGATTAAAACGAGTGCACTGGATACAACATATCCTGTATAAACATAAAAGCTGCAATGACTATGCCGTGCTAGGTTGCTATCAAAAGAATAGGAGACAATAGGAATAGTCATGAATTTTCTTCTTATGTCAGGGTTTGAACATAATTCCTTCCTGAGCATGAGGGGGCTCCTTGTGGTTCATAGAAAGTGCTGTTTCTGATCTTTAGCTGGAGGGAATGCTGGTATCTCGTTCCCTCTGATATGCAAAACCGGTGTCTGGAATTTGAAAAGGGAAACCTTTAAACACAATGTTTGCTCCTTGAAATATCTTCATCCCCAAATCAGCGTGAGTGTTGCTTACAGGCAAACTCTTTTGTTAGCTTTCAAAAATGTACAGGGATAACACTGTGAGCATCACTCTGCCAGTGTCATAAAGCCATTTTTTAACATATATATTCAGTCAGGTGAAGGTTTCCCACAGATGGACTGAGGGGAAACCAGAAACATGTAAATCCCACAACTAAGAACCTCTGCCACATCGAAGCATGCTCCATGAATATCAAGCACTGATAATGAAGTCATTTGTTTGAGAGTTGCCAGGTCTCCCACCAAGGCTGGTATTCATTAGTTAGTCAGTGCCTCAGAAAAGGCAGCTTCCCTGTGACTCACGCAGAATCCAATTAGCATTTAAGCACATTTCACCTGTTTATGAAATGTTAGACCAAATCCTGAAAAGACTAGTTTGTGCTCACTCCATTTCTTTTTTTTTTTGTACCACACAACAACTTCACATTAATGACAGTTAACGAAAAGACTATGTTTTATTTACTACACTACTTACGTTTGCAAGGCTYTTTTGCTTCTGAACACTTTTATACCCTTCGTCTGTACTCGGTGGAGTGGTTGGGGTTTTGTTTCTGCCTTGTAAATGAACTGCACCTCTGAGCAAATGCTAAAAGAAACTAAAACAAACTTTGGGCGTGAAATCAAGCTATGTTATGCCAGAAGTTTTTTTTCCAATACTTTTGTAAACTACAGAGGAAAGCAGAACACTCTTTTATTTTGGTCGCTGTTGACCCACACCACAACATTCCTACTTACTGTATATCTCTTTCACAATTTTCATGAGTGCAACTCACCATTGACAGTAAGCGAGACCTCCTTCTCCCCTGCTCCGACACGTGGGACAACAGCGCGACAAACATATTTCCCAGCATCCTCTTGTCTCACCGATTTCAGTGTCAGTAGGTTCTGGTTGCTAAGAACCTGCGGCAGAGAAGTCAGAGATCATAAGACGTGATGACTCCAAAAAAACCCTTTGCATTCGTGATGGCAGCGAGGTAATGCCGAGGGGAGAAAACCAAGGCAGCACACAGACCATTTAATACCTTAAAGGGCACCTCTTCTCAATTATTAAAATCCAATTTAGGGTCTGAGCTCAGTGGAGAAAGGCTATGGCCTTTGATGTTGACAAAGGGAAAGGTGGAATGAGTCTATTCTGTGGATCATAGCCATGGCTCTCATGTGAGAGTAGGTCACCAAAAGGTTAGAACAAAAAAATGTTTTAATGGWTCTTTAAGACTTTATAGCCATGATATGAAGCACATTCCCATGGTACAATCCAATGAGATACTTGATTTTTTAAAAACTTTTTATGTGTGCTGTTTGAATATGTAGCCYTATACAGTTTAAATTTACATTTAGGGTACCCACCACTCCAGAACCCCTTTTCATCCACACAATTGTAAGAGAGGGATTTCCGGTCCAGGCACAGTTGAAAATGGCGTCTGATCCGAGATCAACCTGCAGGGACTGGGGCTCTGCCGCCATGCGGGGACCAACTGTTGGGGGG